ATTTAGAAACGCGTCATTAAAATGAACTGAAACTCAGCAAAGAGACTCGGCACTCGACAAAGAGACATGAGAGATATATCTATAGAAAGCTTGACATGTCTACTTTTAGTAGTCTTACCGAAAACAAATATTCTGTGATAAAGTAATCCATATGAAACAAACGCGATGTCCAGTCTTTCCCGTCTGGCTTCATTATCTCTAATTAGATCACGGCCACACGCTGAGTGCGCTATTGATATTACAATAGTCCACGTGAGACGCGCGGCGTGTAAACACCCACATCACCGTAAACAAAGCAGCGAGACTTTCTCAAGTTCATCTCCGCTACTGTTCGTTTCTGGAAGGAGACGCGCTGAGAGGAAGACGACAGAATTTACCTCAAGAAGACGTGCTGAGAGGAATAAGCTTTTATATTTTCCTCAGAAGAACGCGGCGGCTTGATATCCAGTGGACGATATCATTTACACGAGTAAGTATTTTTTTATTAGCCTACTTGCATTAGTTGTTATTGTGTTACTGTATCATAACTTGTACATATTTTACTAGTTAGACTTTTTCCAAACCATGATTCCTGACTAAATGTATAATCAAGTGAAACATTATGAAGATTCATTCACTGCATTTAATGTCTCACGACGTCAGGATGTTTTTTTTTTTTTTTTATGTTCTATAAAATAGACAGCAACGATATGAAAGTAATATGAGTTATAATGTTAATAATGTTAGAGTAAGAATGTTTAGACAAAACTTTACTCTAGGCTCTGTTCGCGAAGATCTTTATAACGTGCTTAACAATAATAGCCTAATTTATCTTCCCAGATATAAAATGTTTTTGTATTGTATGCCTACTAAGCATGCTTGTGTTTATGACTAAGCATCTGTTCGCGAATATCTGTTCTGGTGTAAATGTTTTGAATGTGTTATACCCATTCATTGGTATTTGCGATCGTCTCAGGTGTAAATGTATAAACTGACTGACATATACGCGTGTCCTTTCTTATCAGTGATGCAATTTATTATCAGCTATGCATCTTCTGGTAATTGCTAGCAACCGTTTCAATTTTTGTTTAGGACTGTGGCTGCATCACCGGCATCTTGCACAAGAAAGGCAAGCGAGTGTCGTTCAGTTTTGAGTTCGAAAATCATACTGAGTAAGTGCACATTATAGTCACTGTACTTTTATTATGCCTAGACTATATGGTAATATTATTTGTGGTTGAGTGTTAAAATGTAGTTTCTTTGTTATTGGCATTCTGTTTTCTCATGAAGTATGCATACTATAATGTACTGTGGAAAAAAAAATGCTAACGATGGTTTATAAAATTATTTTAGGTCTGAATACACCACTTTTACCTTCACCTGCATCTCACACAGTAAGGGGACGCTCATTCAGTTTTCATCTCCATTTAAAATCTTAGAGTAAGTGTGCATTCACTATTTTACAGAGGTTACTTTCATTTGATTTATTTACTGTACGGTAAAATATGTTTGCTATGTGGTAATTGTGTTTTGTTTTGATAAATTAGTACTAGTATCAGTGAACATCACAATAATGTTAATATTGTAGTTTGTGTAAACAGCATGCTTACTTTATTTCAGATGTGAGAATAACAGTGTAAAATAATCTGTTGCAAATAGAGCCAAAGCAAAGCAGCCCACTCGTTCATGGAAAACAGAGACTGATGTTGACATGTTCCTCAAGCTCTGAGATTCCTGCCTGCACAGGAACCTGGACCACCGCTAAGTCCATGCGATGCACACACTACCATGAGTCTCTTCAAAATGTTGTTCAAGTTTCCTGCCGCTGTTTTGGATATTCTCCCATGAGTTATTTTATGTGATAGTTATATGTATTCTAAATAAACTACAAACAAAAAATAGATACATTTCTTTTTCCTCATTCTTTCTTGTAGCAATTCCCTCTCAGTCACACACCTGACTGAAAGGCTCATTATGCAGCTCATTATGCAGGCCTTTGTCTTCTCAGGTGTGAATCACAGCATTATGCATGATCATTCACGCCCTCTTGCATATACCTTTTCTACAAAAAAAAGTTTCTTAGAAAATTTAAATCAATATATTGTTTTCTGTGAGAGAGTAAACAAGATGATTTTCACATCATTTTGATGTAAAAATTCTAGCCTTCAAGATCCAGTTCTCAAAAGTCTTGCGAACAAATGTTATGTATGTGTTTTATGGCCTTATTTCAGTGACTTTAAAATTTTAGTTTTTCACTAAGCACGTATAAACAGTTTTCTCAAAAACACAATCATGTACATACAAGCTGCTCACATATTATTGTAGCCCGGTTTGTGCTGATTATAGTGCTAATAAACTTTAGCCATTACAATGTTTATAAGCAACTGAAAAAAGCACAAATGTCAGGGCATGTCAAAACTTCTCCAGGGCCCCAAAACACCCTCAGACCCCAGAGGATTAAAAAAGGTGATTTTAAGCTATTTAAACGCAATTGGCAGCGAAAGATAACTTATTTCGCTATATGTTCGTGCTGTCTGAGAGACTGTTTCTGAACACTGTCGGAGAGTCGCGCGCATGTGAAGACCCAAGTATTGAACAAAGTTATTTTTGCTGCTTTATAGGCCTTGAATGGTTAAATAAACACTTGTATGTGTCAAAATTCTCATATTTTTCTAAGCATCTTCGTAAACACAGTAGGTCTTAAGTGAAAGCAAACAGCTGAGAAAGAAAACACATGTTTAACAGTATATTGGATCCAGGCAGCTCTTAAAGTGACAGCAGTCTAATATTCCTGCGGTCTGTCATTTGTTAATCAAACAACAAGAGAAAATCTCTCACTGTTCTTGACTAAATCACTTTTGTAACTAAGAAAAATATACAGTGAAGAATATGCAGTGTTTTGATGTAGCATTTCTTAGTTGTTGTTTTTTTTTTTTGTTTGTTTTTTTAAAAACTTGGGCTAGTATTAGTTTTTTTGTGATATTGACTCTTGTGACAAGAATGATGAAATTTCTATGGTATCAAATTTTAAAAGTAAAATAACTATATTGTGATATTGTTCCAGTGAAAGAAAATTACTCAGATCATGACAAGATATTGGTCATATTGCCCACCTCTAGTCTGATCTTATGCTGTCCACAATCCTGGGACCAAACATAACTATGTGGTCAGAGGGAAATAAAATTGCTCTGATGGAGCAAGCAGAATCCTGGAAAGAGGTTACCAGGAAGCATCAGAGAGGACATCAAGTACAAGGAGCTGGATGGTTGACTGGATAGGGGAACTCCCTATTGAGAACAGCCACAACAATGTGGAGACCAAGAATTATGCAATAGCACAAAGGCTGAAGAATCACCAGAAAGAATCTACTGTTTTAATGAAACCAGAGAGAAGAACTGAGCTTGCAGCCAGGACATGAGTGATGGGTTGTCCTGTACTACTGACCCACTAATTTGAGTCTCTTAACTGAGGGTCGAAACACATGGGGAAGGTTAGGGTGGACCTGCCAGCCAGAAGATTCTGGATAGCAACCAAGAAAACCTGTGAAACATAGTAAAGTTTCCCATGGATTTATTGGGATGGCAACCCTATACGCTGTAATCACAAGAGGGCACCAAGCAAGATTAGCAAGCTTAAGTCTATTGAGAAGGTCAAAAAGATGAGAATTATTGTCGGATAATAATGTCTGTTCATTAAAGTTAGTCTGGTCAAGTAAATGGGTTAAACAGTTTGTATCTATTTCCCCAGTTACATTACGTCAACTCCTGTATTTTTCTCCTGTATATCCCATTTAATGCGATTATTCCCAAATGTCTGCAGTGTGTATGTGGCCTGCAAGTTATTTAGGTTATCAGAAAGCTATTTAACCCACTAATTTTTCCTCTACATTCAGGTGCCTTAAAACGTACTCCGAGAGTGAGAAGTGGCCAGAAGATTCTGGATAGCAACCAAGAAAACCTGTGAAACATAGTAAAGTTTCCCATGGATTTATTGGGATGGCAACCCTATACGCTGCAATCACAAGAGGGCACCAAGCAAGATTAGCAAGCTTAAGTCGATTGAGAAGGTCAAAAAGATGAGAATTAATGAGAATTATTGTCGGATAATAATGTCTGTTCATTAAAGTTAGTCTGGTCAAGTAAATGGGTTAAACAGTTTGTATCTATTTCCCCAGTTACATTACGTCAACTCCTGTATTTTTCTCCTGTATATCCCATTTAATGCGATTATTCCCAAATGTCTGCAGTGTGTATGTGGCCTGCAAGTTATTTAGGTTATCAGAAAGCTATTTAACCCACTAATTTTTCCTCTACATTCAGGTGCCTTAAAACGTACTCCGAGAGTGAGAAGTGAAACTGTTACACATGAAACTTTCAAGAGACAACTGAGACACAAGAGACCACCAAACTGTCTGGATCTTGTAGAGTACTAAACACGTAGCTTTATTTCACACTGATAAATTGAAAAAGTAACATTTTTATTTGATTTAGCAGTTAGATGAACCCAAATCATTTGGCTTATGAACTTTGAATAGTTTGATTTTGGCCCCCAGGGAGAGGTTTATCTTCTGCTACGAATGCACTGTTGAAAGCAGACGCAACAGTACTGCTCTGAGACAGTGCTGCAGTCATGCTAGTGTCATAGGGCTGGGTGATATAGCAAAAAAAATGTATCAACGATATAATGTTTCATATCGTTCGGTACCGATAATTATTGAAATTTTTTATAACCTTTTTTAAAACAAAGAGCAATAGAAGAAAATGTTTAAATTCAACCATCAGTACTACTCTGAGACAGTGCTGCAGTCATGCTAGTGTCATAGGGCTAGGGATATGCCGGTATCAAATTTTCATGTTGCGGTTAATTGATCATGCTTTTATCACGGTATGCGGTATTATCACGATATTGAAATTTAGTTTAAAAAAGTGCTGTCATAATACAGTATAACACACGAGACCACCAAACTGTCTGGATCTTGTAGAGTACTAAACACGTAGCTTTATTTCACACTGATAAATTGAAAAAGTAACATTTTTATTTGATTTAGCAGTTAGATGAACCCAAATCATTTGGCTTATGAACTTTGAATAGTTTGATTTTGGCCCCCAGGGAGAGGTTTATCTTCTGCTACGAACGCACTGTTGAAAGCAGACGCAACAGTACTGCTCTGAGACAGTGCTGCAGTCATGCTAGTGTCATAGGGCTGGGTGATATAGCAAAAAAAATGTATCAACGATATAATGTTTCATATCGTTCGGTACCGATAATTATTGAAATTTTTTATAACCTTTTTTAAAACAAAGAGCAATAGAAGAAAATGTTTAAATTCAACCACTTTATTTTTAATTGACCCAATTTAAGACAAACAACAAGTATCTTTTTGTTTTAACAGTCAAACACAAAATAAAATTTAAACAAATATCTAATTTCTTATGTTTTATATGCAGATTAAATAGCCACAGGAGGGCGCAATGAGCAACATAATGCAGCGCATTAAATTGTTTATATAATACAATTAAAATAACAGTCTATAAAAAAACCGTGCACAACGTCTAAATTAACATATATAAACAACTCTCTACATTGCGAGTAAATCACTCTCATATGCGACTAAATCTTACTCTGGGCGACTAAATAATGTCTAACATTAGCCATTGGCTAATAAATTCTTAGATTTTACACGCCAGTATGTGTGTGAGAGGCGTTCAACACAGATTTTCACTCGATAAACACGCTGACTGAGCGCTTGAGAGTTTCGCTCTCCTAATATTTTGAATGAATAACGCAGCAGCAGAGCGTCTTGTGGGTTCAACTGGACAGTCTAACAAAAACAATAAAGTACGTCAAAGACACTACATCATCATCACCGCATCTCGTGCGCCACTGATGACGCTCCCTCACCGACGCACACCTAACATTCGATTGCACCGTTTTTGCATTCAAATGCAAATTTTGATTTTAAATTCGACTAATATTCATTTTTTATTCACAATCTCCTCATCACAGGCAGGCACAGCACTCAGCATGTGTTCGTGTGTGCTGTCTGCTTGTCAATCATAGCACAAGCCTATATCGTGCGCTATATCAAACATTTTCTTCTATCGTTATTGATGAAGGTGTACCATCGATAAATAACGATACCGTTTTATCGCCCAGGCCTGCAGTGTCACTACCAAACAATCCTATTGTACGTCCTGTGAGGAAGAGCACGCACACACATCAGAGATGCCATAGCATCATCAAATGCGGACTTAAATATCCTGTTCCATCACTTCTGCTCAGCACCTTGTAACAAATTAATGGAGGTGTTGCAGTATTTCGCAGCTGTATGTTATTATTTTACAAAGCTGTAAAGGGGACTTACCGACTCCAACAGTGCCAAACCGCGGTGAGACCAGTGGGCTGGGGTTGAACTGGGTGTATGGCGTGACTTGTGGACGGTTGAACAGCCCATAGGAGTTCCCAGACTGGAAGGATGATGGTGGGGCAGTGGAAGATCCCATAGAGGACTAACAGACGAATAAAGCATGATGAGGTTACTGCTCATGAACAATGACAAACTGAAAACCAACACCATGCAATCTATCAAACAAAGCTCAAATTTAATTTCTTAATACATGTTTTTGCTAGTTTCAGTATTAGAAAGCTAATGAGCTGCCGACCTAGACTGCATTTTGAGTGCAAGTCCTTTTCTGATGGAAATAGTTTGGAGGCGGTTCAGTTAATTTGTTTCATAGACACTTAAATTGTGTTCCATGCATCGTTGGCAACAGCATCTCATCCAACATTAAAAGAAAATGTAATTATTGAAACAAATTAATGGATTTGGTTGAAATATTTTAATCTCTGGCCAAATCCAGAGAACAGGTTTAGCAGATATTACAGAAATCCCAATCTTGCCTGAATCAGTACATGATATAATTAATTGTAAAAAAAAAAAAATTTAGAATTAAAATAATATTTCAATAATTAGACTTCAAACACCCATTTTCCTTACTCTTCCAGTGCTTGTTTTTGTTTAATATTATGACTGTGGTCCCATGAGATATTTTTTCTTCACGATAACGTCTCCATTTCAAGGTTTTTAACGTCACTGGCTGATGCTGTGAAGCATTAAATTCCCATTGCTTTTGCTTTGGTACAACAACAAAGCCAGACTAAGCAATAACATAGACACAACTAAGATTGTATACGATTATTCAATAAAACACTGCTCATTTTTTTATTTAAAATTTTTTAACAAAAGTCTCCAGCTTCCCGCTCTTTTATACTGCCTCTGTCTGCTTCTTTGACTAATAGAAGACAGTTAATAACAGTTTTGGATACCAGGCAAAACTATATATCCAGATTTCTGTAAGGATCTGGTAAAAAAAAAAGGGTGGATCCAAATTCTTGGCTTTCCTGATGTGTTGAAAGGATCTAACAATAGGCAGCTCACCAGACTTTGGCCTACATGTGCCTAAAATACACTACTTGCAGTTATAATAAGTTAATCTTATTATAAACTAGGGATGTTCATTTAATAAATTAAGAAAACAAAAGAAAAAAACTGTGCAACAAGTAGCCTAGCAGAGTTTCGGTTCATTTTTGTGCTCCACGAAAGGAAACCAAGACGGCAGAAAGCGGCATCCTATTTTTCTTTAGGCTTATTTTACAAAAGCACAAATATATGTTTTTATTGTGAATGTCCACAATCAATAGCAAACCTTTTACAATTCCGATTATCTTTATGACTAAAAGGAGTAGTTTCTTCCACTGTTAGAAGGAAAAAATTCAAGTGATTGTGCAAGCGCCGCATGCGCGCACAGTTAAGCATTGCTACCTTGACAATGCAGCTAGTTATTTTCGTCAGTTACGGCTCGTTAACTCTAGCATTCTGCCTGCTTCAAATCATACACAGAGATGAAATAGTTTGGTAAGATCATGATCAAATGAATTATAGCATGTATTTCAATTAATTATCGAGAGAGAGAGAGAGAGCAATGGATGGCCGGAGGGCTAGAGTGAGCAATGGGCGGCCGGAGGGCTAGAGTGAGCTGAGGCCGGAGGGCTAGAGTGAGCTGAGGCCGGAGGGCTAGAGTGAGGAACGGCCGGCGGGCTAGAGTGAGCGGACCCCCCGAGTGTGTCCTTGTCTGTACCTGAACAATGGCGGGGTCCTGAGGCAGAGAGCATGTCGGTTTGGGAGGCTCACACACCGTCAGGTCTTTGATGTCACTTCCTCTGAATATAATATACTCAAATATCTCATCTCTGGGTGCGATGGGACGGTCCGTGGGTCGGTCCTCTGTGCCAAAGGAGCACACTGCAACAAGAATTAAAAGAGCAATTCATGAGTTTTAAATGAGCTTACATGTAATGTGTCTTCCTCTGAGATTTGAATTTAATAAAGGTAATTGACTCTAATCTTCTTAAAATCAGACTGCTTTTGCACAGCAAGTAATCCAGTTAAGTCAAGTCTGACCTTTCCAAACAACAAACAGTGCTAATATATCCTCACAGTTTGCCATAATGCTACAGAGAATCAAGTTCGTAAAAATTATAACATGCATACCGAACTCTCAGGAGGACAGACAGTGATTTATCTTTATGAATCACTTAAACATTCGTGTCTGGGACACCGAGTCTGGAGTACACTGAACTGTTAATATAATCTTAGCTTTATTGTGTGCTATAAATGAATAATGCTCATGAAAAGCAGTTGAGATAGTATTCTCAAGTGAAACATCACTAACAGTTACTATATAGTTAAACTAATAAGTGTTAAGCTAAGTCACAGAGTTTATCACTATTTTCCCCATAGAATTGTATTTATTTAATTTAATAATTTCTCGCTCTCTAGAAATTATATAAACAATAAAATTATATATCACTATATGAAATAAAACAATTTCTCTCTCTAGAAAGAGAATATTAAAAGAACAAAATGTAATGAAAAAAATAAAACGTAATTAAGTTAAATAATTGAATACAATTATTTAAAGCAACAAGCAAGTCTGTCAGTGTACTGCTTATTATACTCAAATAAATAAATGTAAAATAACTAAAAAATATTTTTAGAATGACAATAACAGTCCAGAGATTTAAGTGACCACAGTTTCAGCCAAAATATCATAGTGACTACTAATACAAACAAACTGTGGTAACTTTGCATTAGCCACCACTAACGATAAAAAAAATTAAAAATCAACACAATAGTCTGCTTACACCGTTTCAAGGACACATTTATACAATGATTTTACAGTAATAACAGAAACAGTGATACTTTGTCAGAAACTCTGGTTAAGTTTACAATACACCAAATATCAGCTGAACAGAGGGAGGAAATCCTACATTAACCACACTAACATGCTGTGTGAAATCCTAGAGTCAGAGCAGCCAGCGTTTACACAGTTTAGGGCAGGACAGACGCGTTAATCGAGCCGTTAAGCAGGTGAATACGGTGCGCGGAATTGAACATACGCTTATGAAGCCCAGCGCGAGGCTACACTGCTGTCTATGTAAGTTAGGGCAGCTCGCTACATTTGAGACACAGCCTCGCTGCTAAATACGAACGCTTAACACGAAGCAAAGCCCGTGAGAAGCGTGTGTTGTGTTTGAGGAGTGTTGTTTACCTTTGGCGAGCGCGACGGTGGAGTTCTCTGTGTCGATGGTGTAGAGAATGCCTTCATACCGGATCTCCGCTTTACTGATCAGACTGATCTTACTACCGATATACGGCGTGCCGCCGCTCATCGTTACACTAACGTGCGCTAGACCGAGAGAGCTTGACTAAAAATACAGCTGCACTTCACAGCATCAACAACGGTTTGCTCTGCGCGAGTGTGTTTGCTAATATAATATGGCCGCCTGCATTTCAGGCCATCAGGCGGAAGTGACGTATGACCGCCTTCATTTCGTGGTTTCCCAACTTTTTCCTTTTTTTTGCGCTTATAAAAGAATTTTGGTTTGATCTATCTACATTCTTCGCTTGAAAAACGGATTCAGATTCGCCTTAACATTGTGTGCTATACTTTTCCTCATTGTAATTGTAATATAGATTATATAGGAAATGTCATTATTTTATTGGCAGAAAAGTGTATTCACAAATGCAAATTTTCCTCAATAATACGCTGATTTTAATGATTTTCTTCATGCCTTCAACTACTACTTAGGAGACTAAAAACAATAAGCAATGACAAAGTGTGAAAATTGTATGACGAACTTTTGAACGTATTCGTAATTTAATTAATTGCCTCTTTTATATTTAATTTAGTGCTGTCAAAGGATTAATCGCGATTAATCGCATACAAAATAAACGTTTACGTTTGCATAATATATGCGTGTGTTCTGTGTATATTTATTATGTATATATAAATACACACATACATAAATACAGTATATATTTTGATAACATTACATGTATTTACATGTTTATATCCATAAAATTTTTTTTTTTTTTTTTTTTTTTTTTTTTTTTTTTTTTTTTTTTTAGGTTTTCCAAAACTTTACATGGCAGTTCCTTACAGTAAGATCAGCCACTTCTTCTGTATTAAAGGCAGAGGCGGACAAAGTACTCAACTCCATTACTTGAGTGAAAGTACAGATACTGCTGGTCAAATATTACTCCATTACAAGTAAAAGTTGTAAAGACAGATTTTTACTTAAGTAAACGTACAGAAGTACTTGCTTTTAAAAGTACTTAAGTACCAAAAGTAAATGTCCTTTTTTATGTAAATGCACTGTTTTATTGTTGTACGTAGTAGTACTTTCAATACCTCTGAAGCAACTTAGAATACATTACACCTGCTGAATACACTGACTAGCTTGTAGTATCTTTGGAATAAAGCGCTTTTAGAATGTTAAAAACCTATGGGGGAAAAAACAACAACAACAGAAAAATAAATATTTAACACCCCTACCCACCCCCACAAAAGCAGGATGGTAGTGATCTCACACAGTTCTGACAGTGTGTGCACACATCTATGTGTAGCCATTCAATCACATTTGAACAGAGTGAGTCAGTGGACAGTGAAATCCTGTAAATACAGACTGATAAGGAAGAAAAAAAAATCAAACCTGCTTTAAAACCCAGCAACACAACTGTAGATTAGGGATATGCCGGTATCAAATTTTCATGTTGCGGTTAATTGCTAATGCTTTTATCACGGTATTCGGTATTATCACGATATTGAAATTTAGTTTTAAA